AGGCTAGTTGAGGAGCTAGCTAGCTAGCTAGCTAGCTAGCCGAAAAAGAACTTCGACAAAAAACTTTGCCCTTTTTAATCCGGAGATATCTCCCGGATGGCAGCTTCGAGGACTGGAGACTGGATGAGCTTCTTATTGACTAGCTAGCTAGCTAGCTAGCTAGCTAGCTGCGTGAGAATGAGCTTCTGAGGGTGGCTAGTTGTGGAGCTAGCTAGCTAGCTAGCTAGCCGAAAAGGAACCTCGACAAAAAACTTTGCCGTTTTTAATCAGAAGATATCTCCCGGATGGAAGCTTCGAGGACTGGAGATTGGATGAGCTTCTTATTGACTAGCTAGCTAGCTAGCTAGCTGCGTGAGAATGAGCGTCTGAGTGTGGCTAGTTGTGGAGCTAGCTAGCTAGCTAGCTAGCTAGCTAGCTGGGTGGGTGGGAGAAGGAACTGGAGAGAATATTTGCCAGATGGGAGCGGTGAAGACTGGAGACTCGATGGACTCTTTGTTGATTGGAGGGGGAGGCAGTGGCTAGCTAGCTAGCTGGCTAGCTAGCTAGCTGGCTAGCTAGCTAGCTAGCTGGCTAGCTAGCTAGCTAGCTGGGGGCGTCGGTGCGGGCGTGGGAGAGTGGCTAGCTGGGGAGCTAGCTGGGTGGGAGGGTGGCTTGCTAGCTAGCTAGCTAGCTAGCAGGGTGGCTAGCTAGCTAGCTAGCTAGCTAGCTAGCAGGGTGGCTAGCTCTAGCTAGCTAGCAGGGTGGCTAGCTAGCTAGCTAGCTAGCTAGCTAGCTAGCTAGCAGGGTGGCTAGCTAGCTAGCTAGCTAGCCAGCTGGGTGGGTGGGTGGCTAGCTAGGTAGCTGGCTGGCAAGCTAGCTGGGTGGGAGGGTGGCTGGCAGGCTAGCTAGCTAGCTAGCTAGCTAGCTAGCTGGCTAGCTAGCTAGCTAGCCAGCAGCTAGCTAGGTAGCTAGCTAGCTAGCTGTGGGGAAGTGAGGTGTGGGGAGTGGAGGGACTTTTAATTTTTGATTTGGAACCAAAAGAAATAATCCATCTTCATTTGCTGCGCAGAGAAAGCCCAGCAGCAGCAGCAGCAGCGGCAGCAGCAGCAGCAGCAGCAGCAGCAGCAGCAGGAAAGTACAGAGAAGCTGCGCAGGATAGGAGGCAGTGGAGTAATAAATGAATAATAAATAAAATATTTAATATATTAATGAATAATTGAATAAATAAATAAATTAAATAATAAATAAAAAAGAAATAAAAATAAATAAATAAATAAATAAATAAATAAATAAATAAATAAATAAATAAATAAAATCGTAAATGAAAAAGAACGAACAAAAGAGAATTCGACCGCCAAGCAAGCGACCCGAAATAGTTGCTGCTGCTGCTGCTGCTGCAGTTGCTGCTACTGATGCTGCTGCAGTTGCTGCTGCTGCTGCTCCTGCAGTTGCTGCTGCTGCTGCTGCTGCTGCTGCTGCTGCTGTGGGCAGAAGATAGGCCCTGAAGTAAAGAAGTGAATAATCGGAAAATAAATAAATGCAAAAAAGTGTCCAAGCGTATAAATGTATTTGTTTACTTTTACTCTGTTGCAGCAGCAGCAGCAGCAGCTGCTGCTGCTGCTGCTGTTGCTGCTGCTGCTGCTGCTGCAACGCAGCAAACCGAGCGCGGTGGAGTGCTTCGCAGCAAAACCGTGAAGTCTACTCCAGCAGCAGCAGCAGGAGCAGCAGCAGCAGCAGGCGCTGCTGCTGCTCCTCCCGCTTGCAGCAGCACCCAACACGAACAGCAGCAACAACAGCAGCAGCAGCAGCAGCAGCAGCAGCAAACTCTGTTCATGTCCCTGCTGCTGCTGCTGCTGCTGCTGCATCCTCTGCCGTCGTTGCTAACCTCCCCACCCCTACCCATCCCAGCACCTGCAGCAGCTACCAGCCCCCGCTGCAGCAGCTGCAGCAGCAGCAGCTGCTGCAGCAGCAGCTGCTGCAGCAGCAGCAGCTGCAGCAGCAGCAGCAGGAGAATCACTCTTTGAGTCCGATTTGCGCGAAGAGCAGCAGCTGCCAGAGATGTTTAAGGAATTCTTCTGCTTCATCATCCAGGAATCTGGAAAATCCCCTCCAAAGAGGCTTCTCTTGTATGCTGCTGCTGCTGCTGCTGCTGCTGCTGCTGCTGCTGCTGCTGCTGCTGCTGTAGGATCACCTTTTAAGCCGGATTTGCTCGAAAAACAGCTGCTGCCACAAACCTTTAAGGAAACCCTCAGCTTCTCGTCTAGGAATTTTGAAAACTGCTGCTGCTGCTGCTGCAGCAGCAGCAGCAGCAGCAGCGTCTTGATCATTTTTTGAGCCGGACTTGTCAAACAGCAGCAGCTGCTGCTGCTGCTTCTGCTGCCACAGATGTTTAAGAAACCCTTCTGCTTCACCATCTAAGAATCTTGAAAGCTCCTCAAAGAGTACTTTTGGATATGTTTTTTCTTTAATTCGCTGCTGCTGCTGCTGCAGCAGCAGCTGCAGCAGCAGCAGCAGCAGCAAA